TGTTAAAAAAAAAAAAAAAAAGCGGCGTGCTTCACCTGATCTTGTTCGTTGTTGACCAACGTGCCTGCCCGTCACTGTCCACGACAAGGCTGTCCACAACCTCCTGTATCTCCAGATTGCGATCTTTGGACTTCTGACGCTCGAAGACCTGGGTTTGAATGCTTCGAATCCAATGCAAAGCAATCTCCTCGTTTCTACTTTTGGCTCTTTCTCACCTGGTGCTGCATGCGAAAGAAGACGTCATCCTGTAGCCACGTCGGCATCTCCTCAGCAGTTGGATTTGAAGACCTTGGCTGCGGCTAAGGTGGCTTCGAGAAATCAGGGTTCCAAAAATCTGCCGAGGCCGGGGCCTGGGGCGTGAGATCCAGGCTCGGAGACCAGGCGAGTAAGTTAACCCTCCCGGTCTAATTGGTTTTCGGGTCGGCTGGTCGGCCCGGTTTGCGGGCTGGTGTTGGTGTGGGTGTCGGCCATGGGACCGCCCTAATCCGAGCAAAAAAACTTCGGGCCGGCGGGCGGGCTTGTCTGCTTTTGCGATGCGTGCGCGCGTTAGCGAGTAAATTAGGTACCTTTGTGGGGGTCCCTATANNAGGATCATAGCATTTGGGTGTCTATATTGGGCCCATTTATTTACCAAATCTAGATCCAGCACTGGGGCCATTCCCCTCACCCTTGCGACTCTGTTGACGTCAACTGGAAAAGTGCTCCCTTGAGCCTGCCCAGCGGCTTCGAAGCACTTCTGGAGCTCTTCAGCTCCTTCATAACAGCATGGTAGTTTCCATAAATAGAGGACCCCAATATAGACCCCTAAATACCATAATCCTTAATGTGGGGATCCCAAAAAAAGGGACCCCCAATTTTGGTAAACCCTCACGTGGGCTTGTTATTTTTCAGATTGAGCAAAAACCGTCATGCTAGGACCCAGCACGTCAGACTGTCTTCAGCCCAGGGTCCATCTTGACATTGGCGAACTGCCCCAGCAGAGCCCCAGCACTTTGGGCCTGGAGCCCCGATGTTTTCTGGAGGTGCTCGCAAAGGTACTTAGGCCGGTCGAAGTTCAGGGTCACGGAGTGTGCGGCCAAGGGGAGCTCATAGGGGTTGTGCCCAATGGTGAGGCTCTCAAGGGTGGCGCCCATGGATTGGATAGAGCTCGCCTCAGCTTCAGTCCGAACATGTCAAAACTTGTCATAACCCTTTTCGTCCCCGTCACCGGACGCCTGGTTCACGGCCAAGCACACGGACTGCTCTGCATTGCTCAGGGCAACCAGGCGCCCATCTGGTCGGCCGCATGCCAGCAGCGTGCCACGCACCACACGGTGAGTCATGCGGTGTAGGAGGTGGTCCGCTGGGTTTCCAGAGAAGACAGCAAGACCAGCTGCTGAGTAGGAGCAGGCCATCAACTTGGAAAGAAAAGCCTCCGCAGTCTGCGCCACCTCAGCACCACATTCACTCAGTTGACCTAAACCCCTGAACCTACAACGCCCTTCCATGTCGACCCAGCCACCCAAGGAACATCGCCTATCACCACTGTGCGGCCGGACATACGGTGGAGCAACGGCCGGCGCTGAAGCAGGCGAATCCTGAGAACGTTTCGCTCAAAAAAAGGACGAGGCATGCTCCAACATGTCATGGTATTTGGTGTGCTCAGGCTCAGAAGAATGGCCAACTGGGGGAGAAAGATGTAAAGCGCTGCATCCAGCACCTGGGCCACATAGATCAACTCCTTGCGAAGTGGCGACCGGGCAAGGGGTTGGATCGGGTGTGCTTGTCTGGAAATCAGCGAACAGCTGCAGGGTTGGGGACATAAATGCGGAAGTTGTTCTAGCCGTCCTCGGAGATCTCCAGCAGCCCCGAGTGACGCGTCGCGGTGCTCACAGGCGCCACGCCAAGGCTCACCGTCACCGCGATGTAGATGGCACCTGCACGACGTCACGCTCAGCCCCAGCTGTCGTCAAAGCCGTACTGGCTAAAAACTCAGACTGAATTCCCAACTGCTAGGCAAGGTGCACAGTATCCAAGCTCGCGGTCCTTCGAGCACGTGCTGTGCCCAGTGTCCTTTGCAAAGCACACTTCAAACTGGGGTCTTTGGGTTGAAAGGTTCTGCCAATGGCCAAGCGTCTTCCTTTGGCACGCAGCTTCATCGCTGTCGTTGCCCAGGGCCGCACAAGTTCCTGTGGTGCTTAGAGCTCAATTGCGGGTCCCCGTGAGTCTCTTTCGATTCCGTCGTTCCCTCTCCTCAAGCGCCGGCAGAGTCAGGCTGTTGAGGCGCTGCAGCTCCGCCAAATCCGTGCTCCGCACCTCCGCGCCAGCTGCGCTGCTGAGCTCCCGGTCCTGCAAGGCGATCCACAGCCTGCAGATCCTTCAAACTGCTTTGACGCTGTGTGCCACAGCGCAGGTCCTCCAAGAGCGTGGCCGAGAGGTAGATGAGAATCTGCGTCAGTAGCTGCCTGACCAGGAGTAAATCCGCAGATGCTGTGGAAAACAACTTAAGCCCCAAAATTGTTCGAGCGGCTGCGTAGCCGCCACGGAGATGGAGCAGGGCTCCGCAGGCCGGAGGCCGATATCGGTGCTGAAAATGCGGCTGGTCTCGTCCTTTGGGCGGTCTGAACATTCTACGCCATCTCTTCCCTTGCGAGTAGTCAGGCAGTGATATCTTTTTCAAATCACTGCAACATAACCGAGAAAGAAGCTGCGGTCCAGCTGGCGCAACTGCTTTCCAATCTGCGTGTCCCACTCAGAGGTGACGATGAAGAGATGCCTGTGTTGCTGGCTGAGAGGCAGTTGGTACGAAACAGTTTCTGATGCATTTGCCTGGTCGCAGCTTGAAGGAGATTGGAGATGTTCAATGTGGAGAAGCTGCCGCCACTGTGGCTCACCTTACTGGTTGTTAGTAAAGGACAAGGGAAGATCATCCCGTATAATCCCCTAATATAATTTCCATACAGTATATTCTCTTATTCCGTACTAACAACCAGTAAGTCACCAGGAGCACACATGCACCCTGCAAGTTCCAGGAGCCACAGCCGTGCCCTGTCTGGGGCATCCTCGGCTCTCGTACAAATGTGGGGTTATACAGGAGTTATGTAGGGCTATATAGGGGTTATACAGGGGTTATGTAGGGTTATATAGGGGTTATAGCACTAGCAAAGCAGAAAGCCCTAGAAGAGCCCAGCATCGGGCATTCAAGGCCGTGTAAGCCTAGGATTTTGTTTGCTGAGATGCACCTCAGCAAGGCATAACAAGGCCATGGCAGCTTGAAGCATGCATGCCCGGGCTGAAAAACGTCCCCTGCCTCACGACCAGACGCCTGAAGCACAGCGACAGGTCTGCAGCTAGCTGCTCGCCCAGCCACAAGCTGACCTTCATACAATCGTGTTGAGCTACAAAGTTTGCATGTGCGCCCCACCCCTCTCCAGCCTCGCATCCGGTGATGAGCAGGTCCACGGCATCAGATGCCACCTTGCCGGCCAGCTTGTCCTGGAGCCGGCCCCGCAGAGCCCGGCCCAGGGCCCAAGCTGTCGAGCGGTTCCTCAGTTGCGACGGCTGGCCCTGGGCTCCTAGACTCTAGTCACTTGGGGGCTCAAAAACAAGGTGAAGAAAGTTGTCCCAACTGGCCAAGGTTCAGGCCCCGGCCCAGGTCCCAGTCATTCTGGATTTTCTCCAATGCCTTCGGGATGTCCTTCAGCACTATGCAAACATAGCACAGTTGCACACAATGACACACCATGAATCTCTCGGCTCTCCTGGATGTCCTGGCCAACGGGCTCTGCCTTGCTTCTGGGTAGCGGAAGCACCAGCGGGTTGTCCTCGATGGCTACCATGCGCTTCATCATTGTCTTTCGGACAAAGCTTTCGCGCACCAGTGTGACGGTCAAGGCGTTGTTCATGAGCACCGTTGGCCGTAGAGACCTGTGGTTGAACGAGGTGAAGGGCATACCCTCGCCCCAGTCCAGGAGGCAAATCTCCCCGCCCAAGTCCTTGAGAAGCGTTGCGATTGCTGCCGCTATTCTCTTGGTATATCCTCTGAAAGAAGCAAAAAAAATATTTGAGAAAAAAAACTAGAAAGAGCCTGGGGTCATCAAGGTCCAAGCGCATAGCCGAACCCTCGTTCAGCTGCGACTGCAGTGCGAGCTGGTTGCTGCCGCCCTCGGATCTCGAATCAAGTAGCCCTTACAATTACAAAAACATCACAAGGAGGGATCAGGATTACCAACATGGTCATCAATGCATTTCACTCCAGCTATCTCGTTCTTGCAACCATCAGTGCCGTGTTGTCCGGAGCCAGCAAGGCATGGTGCAACGATGCACGGTGCTAAGTTGCGAGCCATCGAGCTAGCTGAAGGCAAGCGGCCGCTTGCATGCTTTCGTGGCTGGCGTCAAAGGTCAGCTTGTCAGGGGAGTGGAACATGCCATTGCTGTCTGACCTGCCCCTCGCCTCACGAGATGTCAGGACAGCATGCGTATCAACCGAAGCCAAAGCAAGGACACGTGACCCCGGCATAGCGAGATTCATGGACCCCTAAACTAGTTGGGGTTCAGGTGGAGAGTGGTGGAGCACTGAGAAAGGGTAAAGGCACTGGCAGAGCCCAGCCTTGCTGCCCAGCCCGAAGACAACGCTGGCATGCCGCGACCTGGTTCGGACAATTCGGGCAGAATCAACCTCATGACGGTGCGGTGGAAAATTGTGGAAGACTGCTTGCAACTCCAGGCACCTGCGCTGTGTCTGTTGCTCGTGAGGGACGGACTTGCCCATGCCCGCCTTGACGGCTGCAGCCTCGGAACCGTAGAGGACCAAACCAGTCTCCGGGTAGAAGGCCACCTGAAGGACACTTTGAAATGAGCTTGCTTGAGGGAAAATCTTTGAGGATGCTCACGAGTGCTTGGGGTGAAGGGTTTCTGCTTGGTTTAAACTCCACACCGACATTGTCTGACCACGAGCTGCAATGACCATCTGGCGGCTTGCATCTAGAGACGAGGTGATGCAGAGCCCGAAGGAGCCCTTGGCATTGCGCATGAAGAGCTGCGTGGCAAAGAGGAGATCGTTGTCGAAGAAAGCGTCCACAGAAGAATTGACCATCTTCTGCACGTCGCTCTCTTCCAACGGGATCTGCAGCTTGCAGCCAACCACCGCCTGGACGCACGAGGCGCGCAGCAGCTCTCTTTCATCATTCAGGATGCCCACCGTCTTCTCCTCGATTCCGTGCCTCTGCAGCACGCCGTCGATCACCTCAGTGAAAGAATCTGCTTAGCTCAACTCATGGCATTCCTTCCCTTCTGCCCCGCGTACCTGCCCAATCTGCTTGAACAGCTTCTGGGCCGGCATCTCGTAATTCAGCGACGTCCGCTTTGGGCCGAAGAGGAAGCCAAAGCGCACGCTGCGGGTCAGGCAGCCCTGCGTGCGGAGCAGGTCCATGATCCCGGCAATGGCAGCGGAGTCCACGTCCGCAGGCCTTGCGCAACCGGTGGCCTCGGCTCGTGTATACAAATTATACTGACACACAAGAACAAGGAAGCAGACCCAGTAAGGACCGAAGGGCATGCTCAAGCCAGGACTGGATGGTGCCCAGATCGTAGGTGATCTTCCCCACGTCGAAGTAGTCCAGGTCCCCATTGTGTGTGATAAACAACTCCAGCCTCTTCTGCTGCTTCGTGAGGTGGCCCAGGGACCAGCCCACATAGACATCCTGTGTTTGCGGTGGAGTCCAGCGATGCGGATGGGTGCCCTCCAGGGTGGCCTTGGAGCTTGTGGCAAAGCGGGTGTGTCCCATGTACAGCCGCCCACGTGCCAAAAGGCCTGGGCACACACTCAGTGTTATGAGGAAAGCCCAGAAAGGCTTCTTGAAAAAAAGGCTGCATGCTTCCCAGCAGACTCAACAGTCCAAGACCACAAAAGCAAGTGCTCTCCTTCTGTGAAAGGCACCTCGCCGGAGCCAAGCCCAGCGCTCGATGGAGTCAAGGCTTCGGCGCACCAGCGAGGACAGCGTCGTGCGCTTCCTGAGCGGCCCGCTTGGCAAATCTTACCCAGTGAGTATCCACACTGCTGTGGTCTAGACAGCCTGTTGAGAGGCTGAAGGTCACACTACAAAGATCCCACGAACAATTCATGTGGAGAGGTTTAGGGATTGGGGCAGGACGGCTCCAGAGCCAAATGAGCTATAGCCATCTAAACTCCTAGTACCCCCCTTAGTAGGCCTTATGATTCTTCCCTATTAAGGAATTTAGACTATAGCTCAAATGGTTGCATCCCACACCTCCCACAAAATCCCACAAAGAATGACCTTGGGTTATATACAGGGGTTATGTAGGGGTTATATATAGGGATAATGGAAAAGAACATGGAAACTACTATAATGGGATATATTAGGGTTATATTGGGTTATATTGGGATAATGGAAAAGAAAATGGAAACTACTATAATGGGATATATTAGGGTTATATTGGGGTTATATTGGGATAATGGAAAAGAAAATGGAAACTACTATAATGGGATAAGGGCTCCTCAAGTAACAAGGGGATTTCAGTTACCCAAACCCCTAAATTAG